TACCTGCCTACCTACCTACATACCTACCTACATACCTACCTATCTACCTATCTAAAATAGGGGAAAGACAAAGTTACAGGAATGGCTAGCGGATGTGATCTGTGTTCTAGCTCCAACTGACTGTCCAGAGCACTGTCCAAGAAGGATTGTGACGTTCCATCCAGCCTCAGATGTAAGCGCGCCTGGATTGATTAGTAACATCAGCCACAGGCCCCCGTCTCATATGCAGACCCCTTGAACTCACAGAGAAAAGTGTAGAGGTCGAGAAACCAAACAGTCTTCCTCTAGGGTATGGGAAGAGGCCTAGACACACAGGACATTCATGTTGACCCCGTATATGCTGTGTGGTTTCTTATGAGCACATACTGCCTTCATGAGAACAATGCATGCAATTACATTTTTCAATGTGTATGTATATTTATCTGTATATTTTTAATGTATATTTTGTCTATTTGTATGCTTTTTTTTTTTTTTGAGATGAAGTTTCATTCTTGTTGCCCAGGCTGGAGTGCAATGGTGTGACCTTGGCTCACTACAACCTCCGCCTCCCAGGTTCAAAAGATTCTCCTGCCTTAGCCTCCCAAGTAAGGGGGACTACGGGCATGTGCCACCACACCTGGCTAGTTTTTGTATTTTTAGTAGAGTCAGCATTTTATCATGTTGGCCAGGTTGGTCTCAAACTCCTGACCTCAGGTGATCCACCCGCCTCGGCCTCCCAAAGTGCTGGGATTACAGGCGTGACCCACTGTGCCCAGCCTTTGAATGCATTTTTAAATGTATGTATATATTATACTTATATCTTTTGAGACAATTCCAAGTTTGGATATTTAATTAATGGAACTAATCAGATCAGGGTACAAAGATGCAAGGAAGCTACTGTCCACAGTGGAGTGGTGTTTTGTGGGTTTTTTCTTTTTCTTTTTTTTTGAGACAGAGTCTGTCTCTGTCGCCCAAGCTGGAGTGCCATGGCAGCATCTCAGCTAACTGTAACCTCCACCTTCTGGACACAAGCAATCTTCCCACTTCGGCCTCCTGAGTAGCTGGGACTATAGGCATGTGCCATCACACCCAGCTAACTTTTGTATTTTTTGTAGAGACAGAGTTTCACCATGTTGCCCAGGCTAGCCTTGAACGTCTGAGTTCAAGCGATCTGCCCACCTTGGCCTCCCAGAATGCTGGGGTTACAGGCATGAGCCACTGACCTGGCCACAGTGTGTCTAAAATGTGTTTGATATTGTTACAATAAACATACCGACCAACAAAAAACCAAAATGACAAACTGGATACAAGTCCAGAACCGAGAGTCAGCCCTCCCCGACTAT